GCCACGTCAGCAGGTCCACCGAGCCATGTGGTGCACCGATCCAATCCCAGCGCGCCATGTGTCATCCAGTCACTGCCACGGTCAACATCCAATCAAGCCACGCCCTTTTTGCATTAAAGCCCTTCTATTTTCATAGAATCAACCCGTAGTCCAGATTAATTCAAAATAAATGCATATCAGTCCTGTTTTTAATCATTTAGGCCCCTGTATTTTCAAGAATTAGTACCCGCAGTCATATAACCGTTTATTTTGGATAGATGCTGCAGCGTTGAACATAGAATAATAGCTAAACATGACTAAAGACATTATGCAATATGATAACATGAAGCTTTTTAGCAACAGATAGGGGGCTAGGGTACGGGGTTGAGTACTCTAGTGCCTCTCCATAAGGACTTAATCCTGAAGCAGCAACCAGGAGGTTCCGTACAACCCCGAGTGTCATATGGCTTTGACTTTAACCTGTTAACTAGATTGTACTAGCTCGTCTGTAGCTCCAATAAGGGTAAGAGGGTATCTTTCCTTTTTCTGCTAGGATGTGTGTACCATGCTGCGATGCCCACGTGTGCCACTCCTTAGTAGCTACGACTTGTTAGTGCGACTAGCTAAGGGTTTTATAGTGAAACCCTGCCACACTTCCTAGGTAGAGGTGTAGTGGGCTTTGCAAACCCCGGCATTGGAAATCACGGCTCGGTGGGTAAAGTTGTACAATTTCTGCAGAAATATTTGACCTGTTATAACAGTCGTGCTCACGGATACGAGCGGTCTGGATCCTTCAAGATTAGTGGTTACTGTGGGTGGTGGATGGTTGGGAATTGAGATAAATATGACTATACTTTAATATCACTTGGGAATTGGACTGTTCATTAAAGTAGTGATTCAGGATGCTAAAATTTGATCAACTAAAATTGCGAACCACATTCAAACAGAGTCCAGCCTTTTGAGCCTCATAGATCCCTTTGATATACTTGCTAAGCATGGTGAGCTTACACTTGCTTTACATCCAATGAAAATCCCGAATGGGTAACAGATAATGGATATGAAGAGTTTCCGGAGGATGTCCAGGATTACTAGGAAGACGTTCACCAGTTGGAGTCCCTGTGGCAGTTTGGGCTAGTTATTCCACTGTGATTATAATAATATTGCCATTGAGCAAACTTTGTATTAACTTTATGATGAGATATGCGATGTAATAAGTACTTTACTTTGATACTATTGCAATTTGTGATATATGTGTGTGTTTGGACATCCTAGGCACACATATATGAGTACTTGGTTTTGCTATGCAAAATTGGGTGCGACAGAGGCGAACGACGGGGTCTAGCTAAGGTCAACCGCGGCGAGCTAGAGCTCACGGCCATGGCAGGTGCGCGTGGTGCAGTCGCACGTTCCCGCAAGACGGCGGCGATAATGGTGAACTAGGCTACGGCACGAGCACCTACGACCTAAGGCGACGATGGACCAACGGAGAAGAAGGTAGGAGCTATGGTGGAAAGGGCTAGCCACCGGCGAGCTTGGAGCTCAGCGGTGCACAGCGGCTATAGCTACGGTGGAAGCCCCACGACCAAGGATGGCGTCGTCATGGACAAAGCGCTGCACAATACAAGCCAAGTTCAAGCCCATATAGGAAAAGGGGGAGAGCGATCGGATTGAGAATGCAAATGACTTACCGAACTGACTGGTGCAGCATGGCACGGAATCGCGGGTGGCTGCCCCCATCAGGAAATGCCTCGCGGGGATGCTTTCCAAGCGTGACCGCGGACGATGAACCAGGCTCCAGGGCCAACAAGGCTCGGGACGCCGTCACGCCCACTTTCACCTGTTGAGAAAGTAGGCAAATTCCAAATACTAGTTAAATTAAATAGCATGAACACATACTAGCTAGTGTGAGCATTGCTCGCATATTCAGTTAAATGAAGATAAACAACATGAACAGCGGTACGGTGATGATCCACCTTCGATGGGGGGACTGGTGGTGGGTGAGAGACCACGCTGACGAGAGGTCCATCTATCGGAGGAGGATTGCCAGCGTGGAAGGCATCTGAGGCCTCCCCATCGCCATCTAGGTGATGGCGATCACCAAGAGTAACAAGCAAGAACTCTCACTTGACCACAACAAGCCTAATAAGAAGGGTGGATGCACACTTGCTACTGTCTTTGAACTAATGAGGCCTTAATCTTGGATTCTCAAATCTCAATCACCTCACTAGGCTCTTGCTCTCCTAAGCACTCTCAAGGGTGTTTCTTAGCTGTTGAAATGGGCAAGAGTGCTCCCTTGAATGAATAGAGGAAGTATTTATACCTCCTCATTCAAAACGAACCGTTATGTGCCTAAGTCAGCATTCTGCGGGGTGACCAGACGCTCCAGTCAGTTCTCCCCGCCACTGAGCCGTTAAGTTGTGACCAGACTCTGACCAGCGTCTGGTCAGCACTGACCGGACGCGTCCGGTCACAAAAACTGCTCTCTAGAACCTTACTGATGTTGACCGGATGCTGGAGCCCAGAGTTCGGTCACTTCGCTGTTCAGCGTCCGGTCAGTAACCAAAATCTGACCAACGTCCAGTCAGCACTGACTGGACACGTCCGATCAGGATTCTCCCTCTCTGGAACCTTACTGGAGTTGACCGGACTCTGGCACCCAACGTCCGGTCACATTTCACTCAGCGTCCGGTCGCAACCAGACTACTTCACCTTGATCAAATGAACTGACCGGACTCTACGCCAGCGTTCGGTCACACCAGAACAAGCGTCCGGTCAACATTTGACTCTCCATTCACTTCCAACTCGCAATCATATGTGAATGAAGTTTGCTCCAATTGATCTTAGGGCTACTTAGGAGCTACCTAGTGCTAAATTTGATAAGTGTATACCACACCTAACCTACTAGACTTACCTAGGTCAAGCTACTAGTCCATACCCTACTTAATAGTACGGTCAAAGGAAAAATAAAGTCCTAAACTACTCTAAGTGTCTCTTCAACACCAAACGACACTTAGAACTAGTCCATCCTTAACCTTGTCGTCCATCCTTTAAAAAACAAAACGATTTCCATCGTAGGGGCATGACAACCATGATTGCCCAATCAATTGCCATTACCATGACCTAACTTAATTGCCTCTGCAAAACACACATTAGTCATAGTAATCTCGTATTGTCATTAATCACCGAAACCCAACTAGGGGCCTAGATGCTTTCATGGAACAAACGTCACCCTCCTAAACTTCCAAGGTGGTACTAAACCCACCAACCACAACCACTCATGAGCCACTTGGGCCATATGGGCCAACTTCACAATACTACAGGCTACTAATGGGTTGAGGTGTTACACTAAACACCCCCTAAGGGCTACGCCCTCGGCAGCTCACCACATATATGTGGCAATTGTCCAGGATCACCCCTTGGTACACCCCTCCACGGTAAGGATTGATGCTTCGAATACCATTTGTAACACCCCGCATCCAAAATATACTTATATGGCCCAGCTCTGCACATGGAATAAGCCTACATACACGTAGCACCTCTCTTACACTTTTGTCCTTGCTTTGTGTAAAATGGTTAACCCAGAGGTGCTACGTTTTGAACAAGGATTATTAGCTGACCCTCAGCCTCCTAAACTTCAACGGTAATACTAAACCCACCAACCACAACCACACATGAGCCACTTAGGCTACATGGGCAACTTAACAACTACTACATGCTACTAATAAGCTAGGATGTTACAAGCTGACAAATTCAGGAGCTCACTCTGGCCTTGGCTCGGGACGGTTGTTGGCCCCGAGCCAAGGTTGGAATGGCCGCAGGGGCGATGTCTTGGCTAGGGCTCCCCTTAGGCTGGAAATTCCCGTGTCTTGGCTGAGCCCCCACCCCCGAGCGATGGCAACTTTGCCGCCTCAGGCTCGTCCTTCTAATATCGAAGACTCCCTCAAGGACTATCTGCAAGCTGCCGAGCCATCCTTTTCTGGAGCACACCTGATAGGAGTAGCCCCGAGCCCCCAATTGACTTTCACGTCAACCTAGGAACTTTTACAATGTTTTTGGGGGCACGGCCAACGGATAAGGTAAGGATGGATATATGCGAGCGGAGGACGAGAGGAGGCCCTAGTTTTTTTTTCATAATATAAGGTCGCCACGACAAATAAGAAATGGTGCAGTTGGTTGCGACGGGCTGAAAAATGACCGTGGGAAGTAAATCGAACAGTGTCATGAAACCTGTCTGCCCACGGTACCCAGCTCCCTTATAATTAGTAGAAATTAACCTGATCCAGTGGCATGTCTTGCTCTTTTACGACTCTTAAGTTCACAATTAGAGAGTTCACAATTACCATGTTACATTACCCAGCTCCCTTATAATTCGTCAAAATCTCAATTGTCATCCTCTTTTACGACTCTTAAGTTCACAATTAGAGAGTTCCATTCTTTGTCCCTTATAATTCGTCAAAATCTCAATTGTCATCCTCTTTTACGACTCTTAAGTTCACAATTAGAGAGTTCCATTCTTTGACTCTAATCAAGAGAATCTACGCTGTAGTTAATCAGGATAACTCTGCATATGTCCCTCGTTAGAATGAAAAACGAACTGTCACGTTAGGAAAAGTCATATCACGGAGCATCTGGTATAAAAGAGGGAAATCCACAACAGCATGCAGTTTCCTGAGACAGGTGCGAGCGGGCGGTAAACAGGTGCGAGACGAAATAATCATGCAAAGTTATTGGCGTTCCAATTTATATAATTCTGGCAAGTATTCAAATTCATAGCAGTATAATGTGCACACATTGACGCCACAGAAATTGCAGGTCTGAAGCTACCAGATTATAACCCGTTATTACATTTCTTTCAGTTGGATTTGATAAGGTTTACATTTACATACACCTGCGATCACATCAATGAGCGCTCTAGCAGAAAGCTGGCTGTTGATTACAATGGCCACCTCTCAAGTCCCAAATGATGAACAAAGTTCAGTATGCCGCAAAACTGTATATAACATAAATGCCCTACGTACAAACTAAATCGTTGCACCTCCAGAACCCCTGAGAAACGCCTACGCAAAATAAAAAGCAAGTGTCTAAGAACCGGCAACAAAAGGCATTGGCTAAGAAACGTACAAGCAATATAAATGTTGGGACTTACCATCTTGGTTGCTTTAACGCACTGACTCTGCCTTTCCCTCTTTTCGCGCTGGCATTCACCACACCAACTCGGAAAATCCTTCTGGTATTTTTTCATCTCCCTGAACACAGAGCTTGACGTAGGAAGAACTCATTCAGTTGCAGCATTTCACAAGCCCCTATTAGTCAAACTACAACTTTACATTTCAAGGCACAAAACACTTAACTTCTGAGAATGCACAAGATTGGCAAGCATTTTCTCTAATCCACCACAGAAAGGCGAAATGTAACATGGTAATGAAACATGTAGCAACATACCAGCAGCAAAGGGCAGGCACAGAAAAGATAAGCCAGCCAGCCATGTGATACCATACCATCACTTGCCCTGTTTAAGTGTAAAGAACAGAACATTTTGGGCATGATTGGTAAACTACATTCTATCCAACCAGGCTCCCTAGATGCAAACTGAGCTTGATTGGTAGACTGGAGCGGCACCTGGGCCTGGACCACTTGGTGCAAAAGCGCTACCCCAGACTGGTTGTGCATATGCCCAAAAAAATCTGTGCTTCTGCTGGGACTGGCTGGCATTGCGCATGGTGCAGCTTGAGTAGGGTTGCAAACGGTATGGATATTTTCCGACCATATTTGAGACCAAATCCGTTTAGAGTTCAGATCTGTCTATATTCAGATATTCAACATCCGATAGCGTATCCATATCCGAATACTCAAATCGCATATTTATGATGTAGATATCCAATCGTATCCTATCCGACATAGCTGACACTATCAGTATTCATATTCGAATCTGAATAAAAATATGAAAACAAATGTACCATCGGTGATATCCGTCCGTATCGATCCGTTTGCAACCCTAAGCATGAGCAAGTGGGCTGTGCAGCAAGAGAGAGCAAGTGTGTGTGTGTGTGTGTGGCTGTGTGGCATGAGAGAGCAAGCATGTGCAGGCTGTGCGACGTGAGAGAGCAAGCATGCGCACGGGCTGTCCAACCAATCGCCTTCTCCCCGTGTCCTGGCTGGATGCATATGGCAGCCAATCGGACTCCTGTGGATGCACCAATCCGGATCAGCAAAGGCCTGGTGCCCCTTGTGCAAACCAAGCTAGGCTTGGCAAGGAACCAATTTGAGTGCATGCATGTTTCGCATGGTATCAGGTGGGACCATGGATGTTCTTATATTATCTCACAAAAGCCGACAGCACTCGTACAAAACCGAGGGCTCTTTGAGAGTTTATATGCTTACTCAATTAACTTGGCTAATTTGAAGCTTAAGATTGATCAAATGGGCCTGTATCCTGATACCATACGTATTGAGCCACATGAGTATGAGCCTCAAAGAATGCACTCAATAAAAATGGCTAGAACAGAAAGACAACAAACAAATGCACTAATGGAAGCAGAGAATGACCCCCTAAACTGCATCAACACTTTCAATAAATGATAATAAGATCAGAGGTATTAAAACAAATCTGCACATGAATATATCAATGATCTCACCTCAGGCATCAGTGCATTGAAATCTGCAAATACATATTGATAGCAATGCACTCATGAGATAAAGAAAACTGCAGGGAAAGGCCTGTATACCTCCGGCACCACAAAAGCAGATTGATTCTGAGACCAGATGAAGTAGCTCGAGCACCATGCCTGTGTCGACCACGGTGGAGTACAGCCCGACCAGGAATATGTGTGTAGTCATACATTTCCTGCGCAGATGATCAGACAAAGATAAGAATATAGGAAGATGACACTTGAAGGTAACTTGGAACTGCATGTCACCAAAGAAGTCACATGGCTAAAAGCTATATTAGTAGAGACAAGAATATTTCTAATAAAAATTCTGAATAAATATGTTGACCACTCGAAGCTCAGAATGCTGCAGGTTGTGACCTGGGCCAGGCAAGGGTGGCAGCCAGGACGGCAGCAGTCACTGCCATCCCTATAGCCACCAGCCAGCTTAATTCCCAACCAAGGCAAGATCGGTGTCAATTAAGCAGGCAATAGGATTTAGTTTAGGGGTTAGGAAATAAAGAGGAAGGAAAGATACTTTCAAAAGATGTGCATCCCCCTTGGATACAAATGTAAGGCCAACACATTATTATTAAATCAATAAAGGAAAGGAGATTTTTCCAATCCCAACCTTTTGCCTCCCACTGCTGTTGACACGCACAAATCAACTACATCAAGTACTCATCATGTGAACAGACTAAGCCCCCTCCCCTGTACACACATATTCCTCCTCCAGTCGGGGGCAACATAGGCTAGCCACACTGGTCCTAGGACACACCCTCCTCTCACCACTACTTCCTACGACCTATGCCTTCCTAAGTTCCTATACTCGTACATAACAGTTATTGATTCAAATGCAAGACTTTTATACATCTTTCCTGCATCTTGAAACACAAGAATTATCTAAAAGAATATCCCATGACAGTCCTAGTTCATAAACCACAAAATTGTACTGGAAATAAATGTCCAAGAATAGCGAAAAGTTGTACTGGATGAAATTATAACATGTATGGCTGCCTGCTATAGGACCATATAGGACCTGGCTGCCTGCTATTTTCGCCACGCCCACTGCCCTTTTGGATTGGAACAAGAGTTTGTACACGTGATAATTTTTTTTCGGATTGAAATTGCATATGCTCAACAGAACAGAAGAATCAAGAAGACAGCACCACAAATGCAGTTTGTCATTTATGGTATGAGAGCAACCCCAGTGTTACCAACACATGGTAAATCTTAAGAATAAGAATCAACACATCATACCATCATCTAACATCATGCAGAATTCGATATTGAACAATACCTTCTGCAAGAAGGTAAAAAAAAAGAGAGAGAGAAATCAGCATTTCGATAATAGCAGGTGGTGGGTTCAGACATGAATAATTGCATCTGCAACTATCCACAAGTCAATTTCTCTTTTTTTATTCCACACAAGTTTTTGTTCAAGGTCGGTTTTCAGATGATGGTTGATCATATAATCCATACATTCAATTTTTTAAAGAATATTTTATGGTCTTTTAGGGGTGCTACCATGAAAGAGGCGTTCCCTTTATGCTAACTCAATTTATGCTGAACTCAATTTTAAGCAACACAATATCCTGTAATACTGAGCTAACAAATCTCTCCTACTTAAAAATTACGAGCCCAATTCACTCCCCTTCGTCCGTTTGTCGCTTGCCCTCCCCTTGTCTGACGCTCACAACAATCAGCGCCGACAAGGTAGGCCGTTCAGTCCATCCTAAGTCCAAGAATCCTCTCCCTCGCTCCTGCTGCGCCTCCATCCTGCCGCCAACTGCGCCGGTCTCAATGACGAGCGCATCGTGCCTCCGACCTCATGGGGTATGCCACCACCCACCACTGCTGCAGCACCCAAGAGGACCCTTTCCCCAATGGGTGACCCCCCCTTTACGGTCTTTTAGGGGTGCTACCATGAATTGGTAGCACAGTAGCACCCCAAGGAGGCGTTCCCTTTATGCTAACTTAATTTATGCTGAACTCAATTTTAAGCAACACAATATCCAGTAATACTGAGCTAACAAATCTCTCCTACTTAAAAATTACAAGCCCAATTCACTCCCCTTCATCCATCCATCGCTTGCCCTCCCCTTGTCTGATGCACACGACAATCGGCACCGACAAGGGAGGCCCTTCAGTCCCTCCTTAGTCCAAGAATCCTCTCCCTCACTCCTACCGCACCTCCATCCCGCCGCAAACTGCGTCGATCTCAATGACAGCTGCATTGTGCCTCCGACGTCGTGGGGTATGCCACCACCCATCACTACGGCAGCACCCAAGAGCACCCTTTCCCCAATTGAGTGACCCCCCCACCCACCCCCCCCCCACACACACACACACACACAACCATCTGATCCCTCTCCACAGTCGAGCTCGATTCACAGCCGCTCGCCGGTGCCGAGGGTTCCCATGTGGGAGATTCAACAATGAACCATCCCCAAGCACGGTCGTCCATAGCTCCAGGCCAATTTGTGGTCTGAATCAGGGTACACTGATAGGATGTAGGAGAGGACGAGGAACACGGCATTGTGTGCTCCCAATCGTGCAGTGACGTGGAGCACCATGGATGCATGCGGCTTGGCAGAGGAGGAGCGACGCGAGGTTCATCTGCCTGCCAGCGGCCGCACATGGAGGACCATGTTCCCGACAGCTATGGCAGCGGTCTGGAGGTATGAGGCTGCCGGGTCCGCTGGGAGTGCCTTCACGAGTCGCCGTTGATATCCAGCCTCCTCATCGCTGATCTCGTCCCACCCGCACCCAATGGTTTCGCTCTCCTCCACAGCTGAACAAGCCAACAAATAGGGATAGCAGCAAGGCACCTCAGATCCAACCTCCCCTGCTGTGTGTCCACCTTGCAACCACCGAATCCATGGTTGTCGCCCAGGTCCTTGCTCCCGGTCCACGTTTTTATGGTTGAAACAAACCCATTCTCCTGTCGATTTCGATTTGCCTTGCGCACCTCGTATCCGATCTGGGATAGATCTCCTGATGTTTTAGGGTCTTTGCAGTGGCATTTTGTAGTCATCCTTGTGATTCTTATGTTCATGTTTTGGGGACCGATGTTTCGTTCTGATGCAGGTTTCGAGAGGCAGCGAAGCCCTCAGGGAAGGAGACCAAGGTACATGCATTCTCTATGATGAGCGAATGTAGAGAATTGGTATACTAATGTTGTACCATTATGTGTCTAGGAGTGGTAAAATGGTGATAGCCTACTCTTCTCAATGTATTATTAGCTTAGATTATGCAATTATTTCTCTATCATATCGGAAACCTACCGGCGTAGTAGGGTTCAATACTATTTGCTGTTGTAGTGAACATAATTATGCGCACATCACTTATTTAAGTCGTAAGCAATGGGTGGATTACTGAATGCAAGTTACTTTTTTGCTTCTTTGGCCAAACGAAGTTCCTTCATGTTGGGTTTAGTTCTATTCTTTGGTACAGAATCTTTAGGACAACCGGACACTTTGTGTTGGTTGGTTTACATTTCTTGGTTTTCCTTAATATTTTTGTAGTTTTAACCGACTACTGAATGAAAGATTCTCCTTTACGTATGTGTTTGATTTGGAGGATGAAAGGGGATGGGACAGGGCGATCTCGAGACAATTGGGACAGTGTCCATCCCCTTTGGAGAATACCCATGGAATATTCCTCCAAATGGGGGATGGATCCATCCCTCGGAGACAAGGGGACGGGGCTCGTTGCTCTTGTTCTTCCTCACGTACCGGCCGAGCATCGTCTTCTTCGTCGCGAAGCGGCCAACCCTGGGCATGCTGAGGCAGCAGTGCGGGCCGAGCACGGCTCCAGTACGGTGATCCACTGTGGCGACACGGGCCCAGCACATGGGGGGCGAGGCTGGTGAGCTGCGGCAGCGTGCGTGGGGGCATCCTACGGCAGTGACCTGGGCTGAGCTCGGCTTCGGGACGGCGAACCATGGCAGTAACGTGGCCGAGCTGTGGGGCACATGTTTAGCACGCGCAGAGCGTGCTTACAGGAGCGTGGGGGTGGTGGCGCTGTCCAAAAAGCTGTGAGGTGCAATGGCAGCGCTACGTGGGAAGGAAGAAGAAAGTTAAGAAAACAGAGAATGACAAACATGCCCCACATGTCAGATGACTCGTCCCATATTTCTGAGTGGAATGGAACATGAAACAGATCCCATCCCTTGCAACCAAACACGAAACAGGGATGCTCCCGTCCCAAAAAACAGGAATGGAACCATCCAATACCTCGTCTCTAAACCAAACACATGGTAAGTTAACTCGTTCTTGGCAGCTTGAGTGCTTCAATTGTCTGTGCATGTCACTGGTAATCTTATTATCTGTCCTATTTGTCTTTAGGTTCTAGAAGCTCCATATGGCATGGTGGCACAGGCAACTATGCTAGTGCATTGTTCCTTTTTTGTCGAAAACACAGAAGAGTTGTGTTTCTTTGCATTAAGAAGAAAAGGGGCGAGAACCCTTACAAACGCACACAACATACCAACACAAAAACAAAAAACACAATTCAGCAAACTTTACTAATGCCAGTGCATTGTTCCTCACAGCAGCTAAAGCTAATACATTGGACATAGTTGAGTCAGAGATTAAAACTGTTGTAGAGGCCTCCAATAAAAGCCTGTTGTTTTCTCAATCCATCCAGGACTTGTCGGTTCCAAAAGAGACCAGGGTGAAAAAAAAAGTTCGATAAGGTGCTCTTCTTTTCTACATGCCTTACTAATGAACTGTGTAGAATGTATTCAGCCATTTATGTGTGCTCATGGAAGGTGTGGATGACGATGATGTCTATGCCGCCTCCAGCGAGGTTGGTGGATGCTGGCTGCGAGGACATCATGGTGCAGAGGCCAGTGGTGGTGGCAGACATGGATCTGTGTGTGAAGGTTGCAGCACTGTTCGCCTAAACGGCTGTTTAGCCCGCTTACACACCGCTTAAATGCTACACGGTGGTACGCCGTTTCTGTTTAATCGATTGTTTTGACCGTTTAAATGTCCGTTTTGCCCGTTTAAACGTCCGTTTTGCCCAAACAATGGGCTAAACGGCAGGTGACCGACTGCTTACCGTTTAACGTTTAGGACAACACTACTTGCAGGGAAGCAGTTATCGCACCGCGCAGAGAGTGCAGCACACCTTGAGGTGGCACGGATACTGGACTAACGGTAGGAGGCATCGGCGGCCAAGGGTCTGGCTGGCAACGCAGCACCATGCACTGAAGCTTTGGTCTTGCAGTTGGCTCTGAACCAGAATCTGCGCTATCACCTGTTGTCTCAGATTATTAGCCCATGCTTTAGATTATGGACTCATATCATTGGGTGTCTCATATTGTTGATACGTACTCCCTCCGTTCCAAGTTGTAAGTCGTTCTGGCTTTTCTAGATACACGGTATTTACTATGTATCTAGATACGTAGCAAAAGCTATGTATCAAGAAAAAGCCAGAACAACTTACAATTTGGAATGCAAGCAGTAATCGTTAAGTGTATGAAGGCCCATCTATTATAGGCCCATATGGCCCATGAGGCTATCTATATATAGTTATCTCCACTAATGGAGTGATTATTCTCTCAAATCCCCAGGTTAGTAACATGGTACCAAAGCCATGGATTAGTGTTAGGGTTAGAGCGGATCACATCTATTAACCCACCCACGATCCATTTTTTTAACCCGCCGGCATCATCATCCTCTATTCAGCCGCACGGGCGGCCATCTTTCGTCCGTCGCTATTGCGAGGACGACATCAGTCGCCGTTCGTGCTTTGTTCCAGCACGTCCACTTCATCAATGCGGCGCATATCCTATCCGTGTGTCGTCCGCACGACGTCCGCAAGCCATCCTCGCACCTTCCACGCGGGTCGTCCGCACAGATGTCTCTGACTCTGCCCGTTCTCATCGTGCATCGCCGCCCGTTCGTGCGGGGTTTTGCGCCCACTGCTTCATCACTACACCTGCTGATGTCCGTCCTCGACTTATGCGCCTGCATTTGCTCTGTTCTGGCTGGGCACCTTTCTTGGGTTGAACTCTGCATCTGTCTGGCCCTTGGTGTTGCTCCTCTGCTGGTGCCTGAACAGCTGCTGCTCTCTGCTGCTGTGGTAGTGCTGCAGTGCTATATTGGTGGTAATCCATTTTGTTCTGATCATTCTCAGCGTTGCTGACATGTTACAACCCACTGCAATTGTCTTTCCTATGAAACTCGATGGCCCTAGTAACTATCGAGAGTGGGCTTTCTCTGCCAAAACTGTATTGAGGGGCCATGGTCTTATGTCTCATTTGACTAAGGATCCTCCAGTTGACACGTCAAAGGATGTCTCTGGTGCTGATGCAATCACAGCTTGGACCAATGATGTACGTGTCATGAGTGCTATTGTCACCAGTATGAGCACTTGCGACTACTACTTCAGAGATTGTATGACTCCGATGGTTGTTGGCCGATTTTGGTATTTCTTGTGATGCCCCCACACCACTTCTCTGTGATAATACAGGAGCCATACAGATTGCTAATGATCCTGTTAAGCAACATCGACTTCATTTAATAAAACAGAATGTTTCAGATCCTCTAGTTCCAGCTTGAGTTTGAAGGGGAGTGTCAAGTGTATGAAGGCCCATCTACTATAGGCCCATGAGGCTCTCTATATATGGTTATCTCCACTAATGGAGTGATTATTCTCTCTCATATCCCCAGGTTAGTAACAGTAATTAGGTTACCGTTAGTGCTCTGAAGCCTGCAATGATTTTAGTTAATTTCATCATCAACTGCAAATGTTTGTGCTTACAATATTTGTTCTTTATGTTAACTTTCAGGCAAGAAAAAGTGAACATATTACAGAGTGGATTGCTTTGTGAAATGCGAACGGAAGGGGGGAGGGTGTGGCGGCGGAGAGGTTAGGCAGGGCATTTAGACATTTCCCATGGTCTATACAACCACCGTCGATTGATTCTATAGAAAGAGGCGATGGGCTAAAAAATAGTCAATGGGATCGAGACAAATATAAGCAAATTATTGGTTGTTAGGATTTAAAACTATAAAAGATATAATATCGTTTAAATTTTGTGCCTGCAGCAACACACGGGCCAATACCTAGTAATAACATAAAATATCCAACTTCTTTGTTCACATTACTTCTGTGATTCCTTACTTTTATCTTATTCATCAAGATGTAGAGCCTATTATCACCTTAGATTTATTTGCGCAAGGTAAAACCCAAACTAAATTATCTGGTTGCTTACTACACATGCTAATAGCACAGTGTAATCATGTTATCCAATTAGTCGTGATTAGTCATCCTTATTGGTCCTTGCACTTCAACTAGGTAGTCTGAGCCTCCGAGGTGACTAGGACGATCAGAAAGAAAGTCATCCAATTAGTCTCTGATCCATCATGACAAGTCGTCCGATTACTGCATGGACGACTAGTTTGTGACTTGTGACTGAGCTGGCTAGGCAGCTAGCAAACTTGGGATTTTTATTTTTAGCACAATAGGGTTATCAAGCTGAGGCAGCAGCACCTTATCCTCCCCAGCCTGGACACTTATGTAGCCACACTCAGTTTCTCTTCCTCGTCACTGCCCTTCCCTGAGCTTACGTGCACCACCCCCGCATTTCCTGAGGTAGTATGCCAGTCATCCTCTTCTGTGCCACGCGCCACCTCCTTTTACCTGCCACTACTTTGCTACGTTTCTAGTTGTTCTGCTGTTTCCCTGGGACCCTCAACTTGAAGCAGGTGGTGCTACTGATGCTGCAGGTTCATCAGCTGCATCAGGAGCTGCTGCCTCACCTTCCTTAGGCCCTGTTTGGATACCCTATGATTATAATAATCAGATTATATAATCATATTTTGATCCTAACAGGATGGATTAAATGATGGATTATTATAATCAAAACCCCTGATTACCATAATCCCATAATCCAGGTGAGACCAGGTTTTAGGGGCTTATGGATGCTAAAAGTCTTTGCCCTCCAATCAAATGTCCAACTTACCAGACTAAAGGATAAAGATAGGATTTTCTCACTTTAACCAACCATAATCTAGGGACCCAAACACTCTGATTATTATAATCCTTAATCCTGATTATAACAATCATGCGTGTAATCCAGATTAGCTGTGATCTAAACAAGCCCTTAGTTGCTCTAGATGGTGCACCCGTAGCAGATATACATACTGGCCAGGAAACCAGTGTATGTAGACAGGAAGACTATGCTGCCGACAGAGCGCGACTAGTCGACTATCAACCTGATTGATACCTAATCACGATTAGTCTGCTGATCTGTGCTCCAGTGACTAGGCTCGATTATACGATTTGAAAACATTACTGTAGCATAGCATCTATTAGCCAATGACTCTGGAATGTAAGGGCCTGTTTCGTTCGTGCCAAACATTGCCACGTCACATGTTACTCATGCCACAGTTTCTTAGGCAGTTGTTTGGTTCACTCCTGCAACTATGGCACGCCACACTTTCTTAGCACCTTGTCCCGCACGTCATAGACTTATTTCCTTGCCAAACTTTGCCACAAGTGGCTTTAATTTTGTTCGCCACACTTTCTATAGCAGACACAGTTTGTCTAAGGTTAGGTGTGGCAAACTATCAACCAACAGGGCCTAAATAAAGAATTATCAGGGTACGAGGAGCATAATAAAAATCAATCAAAAATGCATGACTTACCATGCATGAGCAGATAAAATAAAAAGAAAAATGACATATTAAGACAGTTGTTGAAGTACAAATAAGGAGTCACCTCATGTTGTGTCTCTGAATTCACATGATTCTCACACCGAATACCTCGGAAATATAATTCACCACCAGAGAATTGTTTTCCAAGGCAAACATTTAATGTAACTTCTGAATCATCCACATGAAAACCTACAAAAGCAAATGTTAACAGTTCAGAAACCAAAAAAAAAGATATCCCACTTGTTCAAATATGTTTATACAGTGAAAAGTAATGGAACATATATTTTGCTTCCATAAGGCGGTACTAATAAAAATGTTTATTCGAAATTAAAGTTTGCCTGGAAAGAAGGAACCATACGTTCATCTTGATATTACAAAGGAAGAAAAAGAAGTATGATAATGAACCTTAGAGAGATTAGTAACGTGGTACATATATGCAGCTATAAGAATTCAACTAATCTTAACATCATAAAATTATATGGTAAGCTAGATTTTCCTGAAAAGCATGAAGGCAGGGTACAATTTTCTACTAACTTAATATGTCACATCACTTCTCACAAGAGGCAGAATGGGCATATCTAGTTGTCATTAGTTAAAGCTACATACACCAGGACAGAAGATAGTTTAACCAATAGTTCTTAATAAAAAATTTCCTTTGATAATCATCCACCTATAGCATATCAAAGTTTTAATCAAAATTTGTTAAAAGGTAAAAGTTCAAAATAATATCAGATATCTAGTATTTTCAATCATTGCTCTTTTGATTTGTTACCATATAACAGTAAGGATTCTGCTAATAGAAAAAAAAGAACATATTTATCTGACGAGTAACTTTTGTATATGCTATGATGAAAAAAAATTCACATCTCAATTGTACTTAATTTCTTCTCCAACAAATCTCAAAGAAGGGACAGACAGTGAGGATTATAGGTGATGCATGTGAGTGCAGAATCACATTTACACATCATGTCCTCAGACATTTAAATTTCTTATTGTCTATGACGAGACATCAGCTTTACTTTCATGATGTTTTGAGTTAGAAAGGTGTAAGACAGTAGGTTCAAAGGCTGGTAACTAGCAACAACTGGATATCCTATTTGATATCCCGGTTATGAAACTTGTGAATAGACTCCATGATTTTTTGCAGGTGATTCCTCCAATAGCATGTACATTCAACTTACATGTGAACCAAAAATATTAAAAGCAAACGAAAAACTTATGACAATGCATTCCTTGGGCACTTCAAGTAAGGTGTTTCTAACTACGAGTTTTCTGGCATTCTTTGAATATAGTGCAGGAACGTACCTAGTTCAAGATCCCTGTCTTTCCCATATTCAACAATAAAAGCATGATGGGAGTCCAATGTTCCTCCACCAACCTCAGGATAAAAAACTAAAGATCAACCCAGAGCATAAGATTAATGAGAAACAAGAACTAAAATAAAGTGATTGCTATCTGTAATAATGTAGCAGTCATTCAGACAACCTTTAGAAATTGGAGCTATGAACTGTTCCATGAACTGGTTCAGCATAGCTTCCAGGCCAAAATCATCAAGGACAGCACCATACTTGTTCATTGTATTTGGCCTCATTATCTTAAATTTCATAGCATGGACCCATTTTTCAAAGTTCTCTACCTACAAAGGTGCACAAAATTAGAAATTGATGAACAAAGTTTGAAACAAATCTTATTTTTGTCCTTAATATACCATACCTCCTCCAATAACATCTCACAGAAAGTAGGTTGCAACATAGCAAACGAATAAACACCAGGAATTGGCTCAGTCATAATACTTCTAAAGCTTTCTTCTGTATTGCTCCTAACTGCTTCAAGGAATGTTGGTAAGAAGAACACTGAAGGATGCATATTGTATAATTCTTCATGAAGAGGCTGCCAGAAACAAACAAATAAAAGAGGTGAGTTTCTTCTAGAAGAAAGAGAGGAATAAACAATGTTAAGAATGTTACAAATAAGGGAGACTGAAATGGTGATAGTATTGAGGCCCAATGGCAACTATATATAGAGTAGATGAGAGACACAAGAGGGGAAACACTAGACTAGGAGATTACACTAATACCCTTGAGTATTACACCTTAACACCCCCTCTCAAATGCAACATGAATGCAATGTCGATGCATTTGGAGAGTTGACACTATGCACTAGACTGAAAACAAAAGACTAATACATCCAAAATCTAAAATCAAAGATGTCGTCGTAGAGTGCAACTCTTGGCCAATGTCGATTGTCGATGAAGAAAAAGACCCCCACAAGAGGGTACTGCATTCACAACCCGTACTTCAACAAATACCTCAAGTCTTCACAAACGGTACTTCAACTCTTCAAATATGAACCTTGCTTTGGAGACTTTGGACGAGATATGTGTCAAATCAAGCCAAAGAATGAAAAGGTCATTGCTGCAAGATGGCAAGCAGTAGGATAGAATGGTGATGACGACAAACAAACAACCATTGATCATGATGGGCATACTACGGGCCACGACGGGCGCCTAAGGCAGCCAGTTCGCGACGATTCGATAAGGGGCCACGACAAGTGCGCGGACGATGAATCCCACGATAGGCACATAGACGGCATGGACTCCCATGATGGTCGCGTGTACATGCGGCACTGAAGGTGTCCATGACGGGCGGACTCATGACTCTAACTGGTAGCTGAGGCAGGTCGCCGACAGGCCTGCAGATGACGAACCCCGCGCATGCGGATGGCGCAGACTCCCGCAACGGTCACGCGGATGGCACGGACTCAAGTAACGAGTGGAATCGGTGAAAGGCTAACGGCGACACGAATACAGATCCATGATGTGCGAACCGTGGTGGATGAAGATGGGGACGCCTAGGTGCCGACCCGGGTGGTAGGAAGACTTGCAAACAAAAAGAATAATAAAAGACCACCGAAAAAGAAAAAGGAAAAAAAGGAAAAAGAAATAGAAGAAAAGAAAATAAAAATAAAAAAGAAATAAAAGATGAAAAGAAAGATAAATAAAAAAGAATAAGAGATGACAAGAATAATAGAACACAACAAAAAAGAAAAAAGAAAAGAAACCCTTGGTGTATGCTTTTTGCAGACGATGTAGTGCTAGTTGATGAAAGCCAGGCAGGAGTAAATAGGAAACTGGAGTTGTGGCGGCAGACCCTTGAGTCCAAAGGTTTGTGTTGCCGAACTTCACGGAGCCGACCACGCCGTCGTCTAGCTCCGTGAATGTGTCCTTGTCACCAATGATGTGGTTGCTAGCTCCAGTGTCCAGGTGCCACCTCTGCTCCCCGTCGCCGCCCTCGCTTCCAAGATGAACTTAGGTGCACGACTCATCAAGGGAGACACTTTGCTTCGCCTTCCCCCATTCCGCAGAGCTCCTCTCCTCCCTTGACACTAGCTCTTCAACTGCTTCCTTCAGCGCACACAACTCCGTCATCAGGATCATCGGCTCGTCATCATCCGCCTGTTAGTGATTCTTGAGATTCTTGCAATCCTGGGCCCAATGGCCTGTCTTCCCACATCTGCGACAAGTGTCCTTGTCGAGAGGACGCAAACCCGTCGCTGTCGTCCTTCTTCTGCGGGGCCTTGCCGCAGTGCTTCCCTGTGCCACCAAGGCTGGAACCTTCCCCGTACTGTCGTCCGCGCATGCGAGCCGCCCACTTGGTCAGCAGGAGCCTACCATCGGCTGTCATCATCGCCGTCTCCGTGCGATCCTCCACCGCCTTCAAGCACCCTATCACGTCCTCGAGAGAGAACATCGACGACAAGTCGATCAGTGTCTCAATCGAGATCGCGATCTACACAAATTTGGCAAACACGGCCCATAGGTACTTGGCGATAACTTTCTCGTCGCTGAGGACAACGCCGAGCGCCACCAGCTGGCTGACCAGCGACTGCAGCCATAGCACGAAGTCCTCTGCCACATCATAATGTCACAGAAGCTGTTGCGCCTTCGCCTTCTTCGCGCGGTGCGACCAGACGTGCATGGCCTTGAGGGCGTCCCAAGCAAGCTTCGCGAAGTGCTTGCTCCCCAGCGACTCCACGCACTCCAGCGTATGGCACTCATGATCGCCTCCAACGCTCCACAGTCTTCATCCTCGGTGCCGACATCGATCGTGCGCCACAGCTTCCGCGCGCCCAGCTTCACCTTCATCGGCACCTCCCATTCGTCGTAGTTTCTGCAGGTGAGGACTGGCAGTTGGCGCGCCAACCTACCGCACAGTCCTTTGCACCACGACCTCCCGTCGCACCAACGACTAGGACCTTCGTGGTAGGGTGCCGGGCGGAATCTTGTTCTCGTCTCCACCCGCACCGTCTGCCATTGCCGGCGATCACCGTGGCTCCGATACCACTTGTTGGGATCGAGGCTGCCTGCACAGGTGACCAGCAGCTCACACACACACACACAACACCTATGTTACACGGATACATTCAGGAAACCGCGTATCGCGTATCCGATACGTATCGGATACAGATACGTGTCCGATACGCCTAGGATACGTATCCTCCGAGTATCCGAATTTTTATTATTTTCGCAAATATTGGATACATGGGTTGATACGTATCGGCCTTGTGGATACGGCCCAGCCCAGTAAGACAACCCTTATCCCTTTGCCCCCGACGCCCTCTGCCCCCGACGCCCGCACTCATGCACGCCCACGCCTCGCGCCGCATCCCCGCCTTGTGACGCCGTAACCTTGCTCGCCGGCCACCGGCGACGAGCCTCCGCCTCCGCTAGCTAGCCGACAGCGACGAGTTTGCGCCCCTGCGACGTGGATCCAAGATCCCACGAACTCCCGTGAGTTAATCCCCTTCCCTATTCTCGATCTCCTTTTCTTCTTCAGTTCGTGGCCGCTTGTTGCTTGATTTCTTTGCTCCCCACTTCGTCTTCCTCTCCCCATTCTCGATCTATTCTATTTCTTCAGTGTAGTTATTGAGTTGCTGAGTTCTTGTTGCTTGATTGCTTGTATGCAGTAGATGGCGTCTCCAAATATGAGCAGTGCTAGAGACTTTTGGTTCGGATGCTCCGCAGGTTGATGTTGCGGATGACAATGAGACAAATGAGGAATAGGAACTTGCTGCTGCATGAATTGCATCCCTGAATGCCTTTTATTAATTTCCTAAATTTGAGACTACTATATTTGAGAGTTGAGACCTGTTGTTCTGTAATAATAGTACACTTAAGTAGTTAATTGCGACGTTTTATTGTTATCAGTTTTAATTCAGACCTGCATTATTATTATTATTTTATTTTTTAAATAGTAAACGTATCCGCGTATCGGGTTTTTTGGGAAATTGCCGTATCCGCGTATCCGTGTCCTTCCAATACCGATACACGTATCCGTATCCGTGCAACTTAGCACAGCACCTTTGGATGGAGATAGAAGAGGGGGTGAGTACAGAACACAGCACAAGTGAGCACACGCACAACAAGTGCAGGAATTGAAATGCTCTTTCATTTCCAAGCAAACTAGTGATATATACAACTCTTACCTACCACCTACAAGGTACACTAGTACCACAACTTCTACTATAGCCACTACTTGCTACAGCTACATACTACTGGGCTCAGATCAGCCACTACTTGGCACTATTGTCATGCTGCTACAGTAGATATAGGACAGCAAAGTTTGACCTATTGCCTAACCCCTGCTGTAGCAAAAGATCAGAAGAATGCAGCAGATTATCTTACAAACCTGACAGAACAAATATATTGTCAGAGTTACACCCAAATCCTCAGCCATATAATTACATGAAGCATGTGTTCTAGGTATAGGCCTGTTGTGAAACTCATAGATTATGGCAAACTAGCTTGAAGCATCATCCATGGAACCAGCATAGCATGCCGGATGTGAACTCTTTGTCTATGTAATTTGCAGATATCTAGTGTACTGGACAAACTTAAACCTAATTCAGCCCAGTGCATTGCTGGGCAATGAACTTCAGATACAGAATAACTTATAGACTGTCACCGGCTTGTTTGGTTGGGGGTAATTGAAAGCAGGGAATAGGAGTTTGGAGATAGGAGTTTAGAAAATCTTTTGTTTGTTTCATGGGAATGGGAGTTTGGGTGGGAAGGGGAAAGGGAGTTTAGAGGACCAACTGCCACTAATCAATTCCCTAGGGGAGGGGTGGTAATTGGGTGGGAATTGTGTTCTTAATAAAAGAACAATAGATCCTCACCGTCCATCATGATTTCTCTTTTAATTTTCCCCAAAAAAACTCCACACCAAACAGGGGATATGACTTCTCTCTTAAATTCCCTTTCTTATTTCCCTCCACAAACCAAACAAGGGATTGGGACTAAAAGTCAATTTCCCACCTTAACTCTCTCTATCAACTCCCATCACTAAATCCCATGCCTCTTCCCACCTAGTTGCCAAACACACCAGTAGGTATCACATATAACAGATTGGATATGAACAATACAACTGAGCAATACACATCTCATAGCAGTTTGCTAAATTGTTATCCCAACAGAACTAATCAAACAGAAAAATTAAAATCTAAGGCTTCCAAAACATGACAATTGGCCATATTAAATATTTCACGGGCAATCTAGCTGTAGTACTGCACATATGAATAAGAGTGAACTGCAAACCTTGTAAAGGTGGAGTATCCTCTGCCTGTATTCTCTGTGCCTTTGCACCTGTATGAAGATACTTGACATGAGAGCCTTAGTAGCAAGCTAATTTATGATAAGGTAGTAAAATGAAATGATCTCCATGAAAATTTAGTGATGTTAAAATTCTTGCAAACAAAACTGAACTGAAAAGAAAGCCATAAACAGCACAATGATGTACTGTACATCTCATATCCTCCCTCCGTTTCACTATGTCCTTCGCATACCATAGGCACTAATCAAGGAAGTATGGATTCCAGAAAGAAAATAATACGAAATGACCATACAAACTCCTATTAACATGATATAACAACCTCTCTTCTTCCATGGCATTTAATCAGGGGTATGGAGTGGAAATATTGTAATGAACCGTATTCTCCTGAGGCCATGGAGAAACATAGTGAAAGGCAGTGTTTTAATTATGACATTTTCAAGAGTCAAAATACACCTCTGTTAACACTAGCAGCATGACCTCAGTCACCACAAGCCCACCAAATCATAGTTGCCAGATTCAGGGTTGACCTCACTTTTCCAAAACCCTGGGATGCTGTTCTGAATCAAGGGCTGAAGACGACGGGGGTCAACATCGCCATTCCAACAGGTTATCGCCATTCTTTGTAAATGGAAAGGTGCACCAACATAGAATGGGGTAAGAGAAAGGTCAGGCTAACCTAACCATGCTTTGTAAATGGAGAGGACAATGGTAAACAATGTTGGTAAAGCGCAGATGGCAAAACATCACCGAAAGAGCACGGAAGGCGCACTTCATTGGCGGAACGAGAATGGCAGAGGACCTCGTCGGTGGAGTGCCAAGGAAAGAGAAAACCATGGGCAACCAATTTTGCTGCCCACTACCGATTTGTTGGTTGTTGCCAGTGGCACTAATTTGTATGGAAGCATAGAGAGAACAAGGGAGGAAAGAGATGGGGACAGCTGTTTGCATCAGCCCGATACCTTCATAAAGTTGTAAGTTTTGGGCAGCATAGGTGATTTTGGCAGCCTAGTTAATCTTTTCTTTTCTTTTCCTTTTTTTCTTTGCTTTTATTACTTTGTATCTCAATGACCCACGCCATCTGCCTAGGCACTCAGAATAATCAGCGTCACTCATTCAAAACAAACCCTTTCAAGCTTAGAACAACATTCCTAGACAGCCACGATCAAATGTCTTTCAACAAAACAAACCCTTTCGAGCTTAGAACAACATTCCTAGACAGCCACAATCAAAATGTCTTTTAACCCTAACCAAGATTTTTTCTTAAATATGCTCCCAGTTACACTAGGCATCGAAGCTGCCCATCTCCAAACTAAAAGTCTCTGATTGCTCGCCAGTGCCACACCCACGGCCGCTGCCAATTTGCCAAACTATCTCCTTGCAGACCAAACCCAGTCTTAACCCAACCCATGACCCAAATTGCCACTTTCCTCAAAAAAGTTGACACTAGTGCGACGGGCACTAAAGACCCGTTTGGCAGGGCTTCACTTCACTAGTGAAGCCATTTTTTTTTGCTTCAGCTCCACGAACAGTTCCACCGGTAGAGCTGAAGCGGTTTTGGTAAACCATTTGGCAAAATGGCTTCCCTGTGAGAGCATGTTTTTAGGGCCCTGGAGGAGGAGCCGGGAGAAGCCACTTTTTTTTTTTTGCTCCATCCCACCCCAAATCACTGTGAGAGCATGTTTTTAGGGGCTTCACAAGTGAAGCTATTTTACTTTACCCTGTTTGGTAGAAAACGGCTCCAAAGGGCTCTGAAGCCGGTAGAGAAGCCCTGCCAAACGGGGCCTAACATTGAAACAAAAAACAAATGTATTGAAACTTAAAGTGATTTGCCAAAATAGTTATTCAAGTGCCGCTCAGGACCCTAGCAAAACCAAACTTCTTATAACAATAAAAATAACACAAAAAAAAACATTTGCGCGAATCCTGCAATGCTGTACATCAGCACGTGACTGAGAGGAATCGAAAGCCAGACCTTGTTACGCTCGCCCTGGGGCCAGTAGCGCGCGAGAATGTCCCGCATGAAGTGTAGCTTGACATCACGGTCGGCATCGAGGAGGCTGGGTGGGAGATGCCGCTCGAGTGCGCTGTACACGGCCGGCGCGTACTCGCCGCGCACGTCGCTGTAGTCCTGCGGCTTGAGCTCCGCATTTGGGTTAAGCCGCAGCCGCCGGTCCGCGTATGGCGCCGCCGTCGCCGCTGGCCGACCGGCTGGCCGCGACGGTTGAGACGGCGCAACGCCGTTTCCGTTCCCCATCGCCACCTGTACCTCGTCCCGTCGCTCCGCCGGGCCGTCCAGAGCCATGGGCACTGTTGCTGGTCTCACAGCATCGAGCCGTTTAGGGCTAGGGTTTGGGTGAACGATTTGGGGCAAGCTTAGGGTTTCGGGACGAGCGGTTATCGTCGTTTGACGGACTAGGCAAGAGGTGGGTGTTTTTTTTTTTTCCAGAGAATTCCCAACGAGCCATAAAAAAAAGATCTTAACGAAAAGTTCGATGATCTTGAGCGTCACTGTTTCAACTTTTTTTTTCCTCTATGCCACTGCCGTCAGATTGGGCTCTAACGGTGTCAACTGCAAGTGTGAAAAGTCGAAAATACCCTTAAATCTAAATATGTCGTTAATTTTTTTAAGTATCTTAACGACTTCAAATGGAAAAACTCCATTGTAGATCTCGTCGAGATCTATAATTTTCATATAAAAATTATTTACTTTTAATACCGTAAAAAAGATATGATTTTTCTAAGATATATTAATCATATTAAATCATATCTTTTTGGGGGAATTAGATGAAGATAATTTTTATATGAAAATTATATATCTCTACAAGATATATAACTTTCTAGTTTTGAGTTTTTCCAATTGAAGTCGTTAAGATGCTAAAAAAATTAATGGCATATTTAGATTTAAGGGTATTTTTGACTTTTCACACCTGCAATTTGACACCGTTAGAGCCCAATCTGACGGCAGTGGCATGGAGGGCAAAAAAAAAATTGAAGCAGTGACGCTGAAGACCGCTGAACTTTACCAATGGCTCACAGGAGATTACGATCTTTTTTAATGGCTCACAAATAATTCTCCTTTTTGTGGGGGTTGGTAAAAAAAGATTAATTGGATTCGTGCCATTAAAAAACGACGTTTTATGAGATTTGCCGTTATAATTTATCTAATCGGAAACTTGCCATTGCAATTTCAGCTCTACCTGTGTTGCCAGTTTCTACGTCTGGCCGTCGATTGGGCCCATGCAGGCTGTGCGTACAGGGAGCACGTATGGACGGCATTTGACGCCGACCGTAACTCATCGCGTGGACGCCGTCTCCATTCCGTCTCCTTCCCCGCCCCCTCCTCCACCAACCCTAACTAAATGAGGCTTTTACCTGTGTGCCATTAAAAAAGTTTGAAATTATGCATAAGCCATTAAAATTTTGAGCTCCCACGAGTGCCATCGTTCTAAACTTCTTTGCTCTCTAAGCCATTCCGTCCGCTTTTCTATTTAACGGTGTCAAATAGACAGGTGAAATGACCATTTTACCCTACAGTGGGGTCCGTTTGTCAGCCACCCAAAAATTCCCTTTCTCTCTCTTTCTCTTGCGCCTCCATTCCGCGCTCCCCCATGCTCATGCTCATCGTCGCGGCGCTGGCGGAGCGGGAGGGGGCCGACGACCTCGCGAGCGACACGCGGGCGCTCCTGGTGTTCCATGACGCCGTGGGGCGGCGCCTAGCGTGAATGCCTCGGACGCAGCGGGCGCGTGCTCGTGGACGGGGGTCTTCTGCGAGACCGGCCGCATGGCAGTGCTGCGGCTCCCCAGGGCGACCCTCTCGAGGGCGGTCCCCACGGGGACACTAGGGAACTTGACGGCGCTCCACACGCTCAGCCTCCATCTCAATGGGCTCTCCGGCGCGCTCCCGGTCGACCTCGCCTCCGCCGTCGCGCTTCGAAACATCTTCCTCAACGGGAACAGGCTGTCGGGCGGGTTCCTGCGGGCAATTCTCGCGCTCCCGAGGCTCGTCAGGCTCTCACTCGGCGGGAACGACCTGTCGGGGCCCATCCCGATGGAGCTCGGCAACCTCACGCACCTCGGTGTCCTGCTCCTTGAGAATAATCACTTTCCCGGCGAGATTTCAGATGTGAAGCTACCGCCGCTGTAGCAGTTCAATGTTTCATTCAACGGATCCATCACGGCCTCACTTCGGTCGCAGCCGCGCTCCGCGTTCCTGGGGACGGGCTTATGCTGTGGACCCTTGGGGCCTTGCCCTGGCGAGGTTTCCCCTTCCCCTGCTTTAGTGGGGTAGACACCATCGCCGACGCATGTTCCCAGTGGTAGTGGCAGTGGCGGTGACGGCGGTAGTAGCGGCAGCACCAACGGTGGAAGTGGGCGAGTGTCGACGAAATATGGTCGGCAGTCTACCTAGGGGTATACCCAAGGTAGTAGATTGTCGGCAGACAGATGCGCAAGCCACAAACAAGATGATGACGCAAGACAGACACAAGGTTTTATCTAGGTTCGGCCGCCAAGAAGGCGTAATACCTACGTCCTGCGTCTGATTTGTATTGTTGTATGTCAATGAGAGATGTTTTTTAGAGGGGTCCCCTGCCCGCCTTATATAGTTCAGGGGGCAGGGTTACAGATCTGGAAACTAATCCTAGCCAGTTATAATTGCCATATGTGGCCGGATAAGGATTCCTATTCTAACCGACCAGGATCTTAATTGATCACCAGATCCACCTTGACTCCTTACACGGGACTCCGATCAGGTTAACCGGGCCGCATGTCATCTTTTGGTGGACCGAACCCATCGATCTAGACCGGCCCAAGCTTAGCCATAAGGGTATAGGGGTTAATACCCCCACAGCTAGTCCCCGAGCACCATGTATTATGATGCGCCACGCCATTTTAACCTTCTCCGACAAGTAAGGCTTGAGCCCTTGACGTCTCTGACCACCGTTGTCGCCGGAGAAGTCGGTTGTCCGAAGAATATATGGTGCTCTTAAGAAAAAAGAAAAAGATTTTCGTCCTGTGAAGTGTGCCCACTTGTATTTCTGAAAAGAAATGTAAGTGCGTCTTGAAACGTAGCGTCCTTGATCATTAGAGGCGTAGGGGTCGAAAAAAAAACACATTCACCGCAAGGTGAAGTGTGCCCACTTAGTCCCCGAGCCTGGTAGTAGGTGACGTAGGCACGTGGTGCCAGGGTCTAAAAAGAATTCCCAGTTAAGTTGAGAATCCAATCATCGTGACAGCGCGTCACGAGATGCACCGGCAGTGCATCGTATCGATGTAGTCCCCGAGCTTCTTTGGAAGGCGAGGTATGAGCCTTGTAGCAAGGTCTAAATAAACGCCTCTCTCAACCGTATGTGAGTACAAATCACATGCGTACCGAGAAGAACGATCTCCGGCGAAGGTCGGGATAGTCCCCGAGCACATCGATGAGTGGGAGCGCAGCCCCAAGCGTGGCGATGGCTTTGGCGGTGCCCGAGCACAGCGTTGGTCCGGCGATCCCCCTGCACAGCGATGGTAATGCAGGCGGTCCCCGAGCACGGCGAAGGGTCCGGCGATCCCGAGCACGGTAGTGGTCCGGTCCATCATTGAGCTCAAGATATGCGACCAAAAGAAAAAACGCGCCGATTGTATTATTATTTGGTGTATTTATTTATCTCCTTACTCTGTCAAGTCCAATCGCCACGTCTGGTCAAAAAGCGCGAGACGATATAACATATCACTGCCTTCTTACTCTTTTCGACAAAGCGATTAAACTTGCGCTTTGATGGAGGTGCGTCGATGTGGGCCCTCTCACATTATCAACGAAGAGGCGCGACACTGAAATGAAGGGGCGCGTTCTTTGGCGTAGATCTTGAGGTTGTGAAAACAACCGTCAAGCGCACGCACACACGCCTCCAAGAATCTCGGTAAAGTGAGGCGAACGATGGAGCTCTTGGTTATTTATAATATAGAGCTGGTAAGTTACTTTTTACCGATCCCCATTGTCATTCACCGCCGCAACCTTCTTCTTCCTCTCGCCAAACCCTACTCCTTCGAAAATCACCACCAATCCCTCCTCCACCGCATCCACCCTCTTAACAAGGGTAGATCAATGGCGAAGAGAAACGCCCGAGAGAAAGAAAGCGGAGTCATGGCGAAGGAGTGGTGGAAGTCAAGGAGCAATGAGCGGACCATCGAAGACCTCGTCGCCATGGGAGTGCTCCACAACAAGGCACTTGCGGGGTGGCGTGCGTCGGAAGGAGAAAGCTTCCCCGATCCACAACCGTGTGAGATTGTGGTTTTCGAGGATTTCTTCAAGTGGGGTTTTGGGGTTCCAGTGCACCCTTTCCTTCAGGGGCTCATTATATTACAAGATTGGGATTTGCAATCGCATCCCAACTCGATTCTTCTTGTCTCCACCTTCATCCATCTTTGCGAAGCTTATGGTGGCTTCCAACCCCATTTTGACCTCTTTTCGCCATCTCTGCTACATCTGCAAGAAGAAAGGAGCGGAGAGGCTCGAAGATAGCCAAGGCGTATACCTCAATCTGCGTGATTTCATATGAAGGCCCAAGACTGCACCGCCCCATGGAACACCTCACCGGACGAATGGTACAAGAAATGGTTCTACATCCGCTGAAGAGCCGAACGATCATCACCCTGTGTGGCGTGGGGTTGATTCCGGAGAAGAAGAACAAATGGTCGGAGAAGCTCGAGCACTTGGAGCGGATCACGTAATCGCTCGGGTTGATCCCGTGGGGAAAACTGGATGGTCCAAGCGTGGTCGGGAACTTCATCAGCCGAAGGATCCAGCCCTGCCAAAAGAGGGTACATCCTGGCTTCGAGTATCAGGGTAGCGCAGATCCAACGAGGACCAGAAAAGAGGTGCTCGACAAGGTAGAAATCAAAGCCAGAATTGGGGAGCTATTCAATCTAGCTGACCCCAATTATGTCAGGTTAAACAACATCGAGCACGCCTTCAAGCTGGCCCGACCTCCCCCGAAGGTAAATGATGCCTCCTTGTGCCTGTAGATTTATGTTGCAACAAAAAATTTGACTGTTGTCTCCTTTATGTTTCCTAGAGTAATGGTCATGACCGAGCAGCAGTATTTGTGTCTCCGCCCCCTGGCGTGGATTGGCCGCAAATTGCCGGCCCAACTGCCTAGACCAGTGCCAGTACCGAAGGCGTCGACTAGGCGGTACTCGGAGTTGGGGAGGATGTAACGGCCAAGGCTGCCAGCAAGCGGCCAGAAGCCAACAAACGTCGCTAGGCCATCTTTCCCCTTTCAGACGATGAAATAGAGGATGCGGACATCTTCCGACTCATCCCTCGAAAGAGGAGAAGACAAATGGGGTCAACAGAATAGGGTAGCTCCTCTGTGCCAGCAGTGATCGCACCACCGACCACTGCAACACAGAAAACAAGCGGAGGAAGTGTCAAGCACCAAACCCCGACGCCAGTACCGGTGGTGGAAAAAGACCCGGTGGAACCCGCCGAGCACGTGGAGCAGGCGCGATCAAAGAGACGTTCCTTCACCACGTTATTCTGTGCTTCCAAGCTGTAAGTATCCATAACCTTGATATAATATTATAATTTGTATTGAATACTATTGTCTTCTGAACTTTCTCTGGTATATTAGGTCGGCGTCCACCGAAAATCCCGACCAGATAGTCGGTTGTGGCACGGCTTCGCCAGTACAGGCGGAAAGAACTGCTCGGCAGCTAACTGTGGAGCAACCTGTAGAAGAAATTTCGCAGGAACCGCAGCACACGAGCAGCCCAACATCAGTCCCCGAGCAGCTGGTCGAGAAGACAGCTGAGCAAAGTACAAATGCTCCGAGCACTAGCCCTGCTAAGGCGGATACCTTGGCACCAAGGGAACTAGACCGAGCCGAGGAGAAGCAACCGGAGTTGGCATAGAATATGCTTGCCGATGCTACGGCTCGTGGGAAAGCCATAGTGGTCGCGGAGACTACTATCTCCGGCCCAACGCCGCCCCCTGAATAAGAGGCTGAAGAGGACGAAGTTGAAGAGATCCTAGGCCGTCCCAAAGACAAACGACAACATGTATATGTATCGCGCAGGCGGAACGACGAGTGGGTTATGTACGAAGAAATCCCCGAGATCGAGGAGACCCAAAAAGTTGAACGAGCAGCAAAGCGTTTGGTGACAGAAGTCCAGGTATGTTTGGCTTGACCACTTGACCCTGTAATGTAGTCAAACTGTCTGACTTAGCTTGCTTATATGCAGGACTTGATGAAGACCGCGAAGTACTGAAAGAATTGCTTCAACCAGATTGAGGGAATCACGGCGAGCAATAGAGAACTGGCGGCCGAGGTGGAACGCTTGCGCCGCCAACTTGAAGCCGCCGACCAGGAGAGGACAGAGCAAGAAACACAGAACCAGAACCTGGTCGGCCAGCTCAATGACAAAGAGCGTCAAAAAACAAGTAAGTTGTCATTTTGTCACATCAAGTGTATGACACGTGTTGTTGCATTGTTGGTAATGACAGCTGTAATGCAGGCTTAGAAGCTGAGGTAACCCGCCTCCAAGAGGAGAATAGCCACATGACCGCAGAGTGTGGTCACCTGAAGGAGAACAACGAGAAACTAGCGCGCAGCCAGTCTCAACTCCAAGACCACACCACCAAAATGAAGGAGGAACTGAAGAGTAAGTATTCCAGGCCGCCGTTCTCATTCTGTTGCCCGCCTTGACTTGTCGTGCCTTTACATTTGATGTCTTGTACGGTGTGCAGTTTTAAAAGCCAATGCCAAGAGGCATCTAGAAGCTGTGATGAAAGAGCGTGACGGCTAGAAAGCACAATGCCTCGAGGCCACCGAGGATCGGGACACATGGAAGAACCGGTACCAGGAAGTGGCAACTGGCATTTTGCCCATCCTCGACCTTGTCGACCCGGCGCTCACAGAGGAAGAGCCAAAGACCCCCCAGCTCGGACTGGTCGAGAGATGCAGACAAGCATGGGGATGGTTCCAGGAGTTCATTAAGGAGGCGGGTGAGTATACGGGCGCCCATGTGCTAAGCATGGTGCGTGCCCACTACCCTCTGATCGATCTCAAGCGCCTGGAGGCTGGATACCCAAAGGAAGTAGACCCAGACAAGGTGGAGGAGCTTCGGGTGGCCCAGCTGGATCTGTTGTCAAAGATAATTGGC